GTGTGTAGGTTGTTCTAGTCATCAATGCTGATTACAATTTATAGTATACATTTGATTGGATTTATGCAAGTAGTTCTGTAGTATAAGCCTCACCCCCCACCCCCTTGAACACAATATTAGGCCTATTTTGGGGGGGACGGGGTGTGGGCTTATACATGAGGAATTTCCTTTGAAATCAAATGGCAATTTTTCAGCACTGTATTCCTATTTCGAAGCCAATATTTGATGTTTTTTTTTGAGAATTGTATTTGTAAAGGCCAAATCAGACTGCGTCATACGACGCAGCTCGGCGCGATTTGTTGTCACATCGGGTCTGTGTAAGTTAAACGCAGAAGTGATGGTTTGCATCGGGAGCAGTCGCATCGTAGAATATCAAACATGTTTAATATTTCTCACGACGGCTCAAGACTTCCGCGACGATGAATCGCGTTGGCCTTTAAAGCCATACCCTGGGCTTTTGCCCTTAGGAGAGGCTGGTACATAAAATTTGGGAAAGAAACTACTGCATTTATTTATTTATTTGTGTAGGTATGCATTATGTAGATAGTGGTACAGAATAGAAAATAACCAAAATTCACAAACATTTTGTTCAGAACTCCCTTAATATCATCAGACTAACACACTAACCCTCCTGATAGGGGGTTATGGGTGGAAGGGAAGAGATAGCAAGCACAATGAATGATTGAAAAACTTCATAGGTTTTTGATAAAAATAATTTTGTCATAACTTTAGTTATAGCTGTAACTTTAATTTTTTCAATAATTTTCAAGTTGCTTGCAATTATATCATCATCATCATCATCATCATTAATTACAATGTCGCTAAACATCTGTGCACTTCCTATTTCATTTTAGTTTGTATCCATTTCCACCTGCTTTCAAATTGTTTGCCAAATTATCCCCTTCTAAATTCCTGTTATTAATATTATAGTACCAGTTATTTGGAAAACTCCATCTTCATCTTGTCTCTTCTTGATTCATTACCGATTTATTTTGTTTTATTTATGTCACCCTCTCTATCGTTGTTATTTACAATAAGCCTCTGTTAATGTCATTTACTCATTAATACTGAATTTATATTCTTCTCTGGTTGTCCATATTCATCCATGTCTTAAAACACTCCATTTTGTCGTCCGCTCTCAATTTTGTTTGCTTTCAAGTTTGTCGTCCGCAGTCTTTTTTGGTTATCTGTTCTATTTTGCAATTCATGTCTTCATCTCTTGCTCGTAATGTGCTTGAGCATAGTCTGTATTTTTCAATTTTCTGTTAACATTTCTCGCTTGATAAGCTCTGTTGATAATTAACATCCCAGGATCGGTCATCCGTGATTGGTCATGCATGGTTGGTCAGCCATGGTTGCAAACTACCGCAAACCAGAATTATAATATCACAAGACGTGACCCAAAATAGTACTGTTCTTAATTAAATTGTCATGATTTTATTTTCGTCCACAAGAAGTCTGAATGGCATCAAAATGACCATGTTTCTACAAAAAGCCTACTAGAGCATACAAGAAAGCAATGAAGGCCTAAATCACAACTTAGTTAAAAATAATGATTTAATTATATAGATATCATTACTACCACATGAGTATTGCAGTTTGTGATTAAGAACCTTTAACATTGTTGTTATCACCTTTCTTCTTCATCATCCTCTTCATCATCATTTTTTTCTTCATCCACCTTTTCATCATTATCATATCATTTTTAGTTTTTAAATTGTTATTTAAAACTTATTTACTCAGGATACATTTCCAGGCAGATGTTAATGCCTGTTTTTAACAATGGTCCTGCACAATAATTAAAATGTAAAAAAGTACAAAAAGAATGTCCACATATACAGTATAATCAAGGTGATACAGAAAAATATTTAAGATTTAAAAAATGTTTGTATCGCACAATCTTTGTAAATTACATAATTTTACAATAACAATTTTCAAAAAAGATACAATGTTACTAAACAGTAAAATAAAGGATTTCTGATTAATGTCTATTTTTCTTCATTATATATCTGTTCTTTGTTTTTTACTTAAGAAATGTTTTGTGATTTTAATTGCTAAATGAAATGAAATGAGACTCAAATTATCAGAAGTTGATAAAATAAAAATTCTAATTACCACCACCACCACTACTACACCTCAAAAGGAATGCAAATCTTGAATATTATGCTTATTCACTCTTTTTGTTATTCACATTATTGATATCTTTATTTTCTAGTAATAAATTACTATAGCTATAGTTAGATTTGTTATTTTAATTTTTGTGATGCAACAAATGTTTTACCTTATTACAGGGAGCCACGAAAAGTTGTGTTGACTAAGGGCTCGACGGGTCTTGGGTTCAATATTGTCGGCGGAGAGGACGGAGAAGGGATCTTTATATCATTCATCCTGGCTGGAGGTGTTGCCGACCTTAGCGGAGAACTTCGCAGAGGAGACCAACTTCTTGCGGTGAGTGAAGATGCTATTTTAGATTATTTTATGATGTGTTAGCATTATGTAAGCAGAGGGAAGAAGACAAAAAATATGTATTTTGTATTGAGTGTTTATGTTTAAGGAGATACATCATCTTTAACCTTTTAGTGAGTATTAATTTTAAGTTAGAGATAACATTGTTTAATTAAGCCCAACATTTTTTTGCATTTTATTATAGCTTGGTGTTTAAAATACTTGAGTTTCGATTAAAAAATTGAACATTAGGATTTTTTGGTCACCACTGAAAACCACCTTTATGATCTAAGTCACGTAATTAGAGTTTATTTATTTAGCATTTGATGGATGTTGTATTTTGCCTGCATTAATTTTGGCATTTACTGTACAATGGTTTTTTATATTAACTTACAACTGGGACATGAAGGAAGCCACCGTGACTGTCTTTAACATTCACGATTTGATGACTTTTGAAATGATGAAAATTCAATTAGCGGCTTCGGCGAACCGATTTTAAACACTACTAGTCTCCTGACCCCAGCTGTGTTTTTATTTTACTGCTAGTCTCCAAATCCCAATAGTGATTTTCATCTACTAATAGTTTCTGGAGACCTAATTGTAGCTATTATTTGTTTTACTGTTAGTCTCCTAATACCAGTTATGTTTAGGTTTAATTGCTAGTCTCTTATACCCGATTCACACGTGAAGTTAAATTTAACAAAAAGTAACAAATTGTAACCGAGCGATCTCCCGAGTTATTCCTACCGAGATAAAAAGCATTCACACGCGTCTGTAAGGTAATGCCAAGGTTGTGTAAAATTTATTCAGTGTTTATTCAATGAACCATTTTTCCCCTACTGCGATATAGGTCTAGCCTAGGCCTAGTTGAGAACCCCTGTCACAGATGGATTGTTGAACTCACCATCACAGTAAACATTCGATGCAATCAATACCCTAAACTGCTGTACTACTACTACTAAACTAGGCATAGCTTCCAACGTTTCTGTCGACTCTTTTAATACTAGTAATAGTACTAACACTATCCCGACGTTCATTTTATGTATATCTTCTTCTTCTACCATTACTAATTAACATCAATAACAAGGGTAATTCATACATCATTGAGAAAAACTAGGCCTATCTATTTCTAGTGGATCAAAATCGTATGCAGAAGGAAGAAAATTCAAAGAACCCCGTGAAACAGTAGATTGTTGTTGTGTTGAAATCCCTGCGCATGCGCAGATCCATCCATGTTACATCTCGGAAGCTTTACCAGCCTCAGTGAGGCTGGTAAAGATTACCGAGACGCTCCGAGATTTTACAAGGATATTACACCGAGGTACTTTCACACGTGCCGTAAAATGTTACTTTTGGTTACATTTTGTTACATTTGGTAAGATTTTTGTACGTGTGAATCGGGTATTAGCTAGACAAACAGTTTTTACTGTTAGTTTGTTAGGAATCCTAAGTTTGGATTTCATTTTAGAAGTGTAAGGGCCAAGGCCAAATTTTCTAGTCCACATTCTCTTGGTTATATTTGGTTTTTAGTACTAGTCTCTTAATACCAGTGGCAGAACAACCTATGATTTATTAGGAAAAATAATGAACTAACATGTAGATATAGATATTTATGTCTGAGAATACATAATGTATAATAATTGGGATGATGTTTTTTTAAAGTATAAAAACACATTTCTCTTGGTTATATTTGGTTTTTACTGCTAGTCTCTTAATACCAGCGGCAGAACAACCTATAATTTATTAGGAAAAATAATGAACTAACATGTAGATATAGATATTTATGTCTGAGAATACATAATGTATAATAATTGGGATGTTGTTTTTTTAAAGTATAAAAACACATTTCTCTTGGTTATATTTGGTTTTTACTACTAGTCTCTTAATACCAGTGGCAGAACAACCTATAATTTATTAGGAAAAATAATGAACTAACATGTAAATATAGATATTTATGTCTGAGAATACATAATGTATAATAATTGGGATGATGTTTTTTTAAAGTATAAAAACACATTTCTCTTGGTTATGTTAGGAAAAATAATGAACTAACATGTAGATATAGATATTTATGTCTGAGAATACATAATGTATAATAATTGGGATGTTGTTTTTTTAAAGTATACTTTTATTTTTTCTATTAAATATACATATTACCTTGTCAATTATACAGTTAAAACAAAATTTTCTTTTAATCTACATATTATATTTGTTCAATTATTTTGTTTATATTGCTAATTAAATGGAGATTAGTGATGATATAGTTTACCTTATTAATTTTATTTGTGTAACCTATTTTTTAATGTATCATCCTCGTATTACCTGTAATAGAACTTCCTATTCTAAATATTAGGATGAGCTATCAGGTTGATACTACTAACTAATATGTGAGCTATATTTTTGTTGCATTTTATTGCAATATTTTGTAGAATAACAATTCAGTTTTAATTGCAATGCCTATAACAGTGAATAAACAGAATTACATATTAAGACTAATTAACTCAGTAGACCAGGTTTAATGGTATACAGTATGAGATGAGGTACCAGATTGAAAAAACATATTCAGTTATTCATATTAGCTTTCTATTGAAAGTTATGAGAAAATATTTTCCATGCCAATCTGTATAAAAATACTGATCTGGGTTTTTGCATATCTTTTTAAAATCGGATAGTGATCAGTTTAACAATTTTTGTGGCAAGTCAGTAAATGGGGAAAATTTTGGTTTTGAACTGTGCCTAATTGGAAATTGGTAATGTATTGATTCTTTTGTATGCGAGGTCTATTTATTTCTTTAGAGTTTTTGAAAGTTTATATTCAAATTTGACAAATTCCCTCCCCCCCCAAATATTTATAGAGGGTGACCCTTCAAGTGTATCCTAAAAAGCTGGCTGATATTCAAGGGCCTTTAAATAAATGCAATATTGCAATGCTTTCATCACTAAAGTCTCTTTAGGAGGCTTACGCAGTGGAGTTTTGTTAGTTGTAAGAAAAACTCCTGTTGTCCCAGGAATTGAACCCAGAACCCTGGGATTAGAAGGCAATGATATCATTAACCAGAGTAGTCTAATAATTCACAATAATAAATTATAATAATTTCATTCTAATAATTTTTTCTCAATGTGTTCCTTAGTGCATATTAATTTTCCCATAGGAGCTTGGCTGCTAAAGTTACTCCATTTCACTGTCCCCATGTCGTAGGGTAAGGGTGATTGTCATTGGTACTTTGACTTCTTAACCATCAAAGATCTTAATAACCTTACTTTGTACTCTGATTGTTTTATATTTTTGTAAATTTTCAAAAGTACAATCATATCATAATCATATATATGATTCTGTTGTTCAAAATGAAATTATGCTCAAAGAAATTGACCTAGACTACATGTGTATTAAATGTTATATCTAGTGAACCATATAAGGGTTTTAACCTTGAACCTTGAGTGCTAAGAAGGATATGCTTTTACTATGTAAAGATACTAGGTATTAATGTTACATGAAAGTAGCAATGATGTTTTTGAGGTTTGTTTGTAGTGTCTGGCTACCTATAGTGTTTACTTGGACACTTTATCTGTGAACCAGGATGCTAGTAATCGTTTTCCTTTCATTAAGCTAAACATCCAAAGAGTCTGAATGGCGGTCAACCTGAATGGTGGTCAACCTTGCTCATGATATTTGACCCATTTTCAGTCACTGAATTCTTCCTCTATTAGTTCTGACCTTAAATCTTTGGCCTGATACATTTTATTATTGTTAATTCCCAACTATAAGAAATCAAAATTTCAAAAAATATATATAATTTTTTGCTCATGATATTTGACCCAATTTCAGTCACTGAATTCCTCCTCTATTAGTTCTGACCTTAATAAATCTTTAGCCTGATACATTTTATTATTGTTAATTCCCAACTAGTATAAGAAATCAAAATTGCAAAAAATATATATAATTTTTTTTTTTTTAAATAGAAGACAATCTATTATATTTTGTAGGGGTCCCAAATTGTGGGAGTCTCCCCGAGATCAGTTCGGTTTCCCGCACTTTCGCAACCAGACTAGAATCTCCCAGAAAATAACCCATTTCCCGCAAAGTCAATAAATCTGTTTTTACTACTGTATTTACTCCCTTTAATATTATCATTGTCTCACCGAAGTCAATTCACTTCAGTTTTCTCTATTTGTAAATATCATAAAATTGCACTATACAGAAAAAATTCAGAAATACAAGCACAAACACTAAAACGAAGTCAGAGCAATACAAAATACAACAAATAAAACTAACTGGTACACAGAAACTCAATTATATAATTGCACTGAGAGGTGTTTAAAATATCTGGAAAGTTATCACTTATGATAATTAGTTCTATTATTTGCTCAGCAGTTTTAAGAATTTTCTCATTTTCGTTAATGATATTATGCCAACTATCAGTTACCAAATTGGTATTCATGTTTTTATTATTATTATTATTATTGTTATTGTTATTATTATTATTATTATTATTATTATTATTGGTATTATTATTATTATTATTATTGTTATTATTATTATTATTGTTATTATTATTATGTTGAAACGAGATATCAAAGTTCTAAAGTGTCGATGGATATACCATAAGCAGCAAAAGAGAATGGTTTGTTAAAATGACTCTTTCCAACTTGGGACCTTTGTATTTTGCAATATTGAAGTAGTTGAAATCCATTGATTAAAGTCTGTCCAACTAACAATAGGATTAGCCACCCGTTCCGTGTCTGTTCCTGTTCTACATACAATTCAAAACGTCTATTGGTTATGGAATATTTTGCCAATGATAGGACTCTGTCATGCGTTCAAATTTGTTGTTGATCTAAGGCTAATCATTAGAAAAGATCCCTCTTTTATAGCTGAATGAAATATGTGGGATACACTTATTTGTAGAATTCCATAAAATAGAAAAGGTATATGTTTGTGTATTATAATACACTTGTGTTGGTGGAGTTTGTATAGAGTCTAGAGGTATAATATTAATATTTTTATTGAGGCTTTAGTATTACTGTAATGTTGTTCCTGGGTTTGGTTTAAATACAGTATATCTATTTTATACTGGGTAACCCTTCACTAGGAACCTACTGTTCTCTCACTTTATATGCTAAGACTCTCAATGAGGTTTAGGGAGTGGAGTGGTTTGAAGTCATGAGGAAAACAAACGCAAGAATTGAACCTAGGACATAATGATTAGAAGGCAAGCATCTTAACCACCAAGCTATTCAACTTTGATGTGTTTAATGTGATAATTCTAGTGGCATTATATATATATATATATATATATATATATATAGAATAAATCAGTAGGTAGACGCAGACAAAATAAACTGCTACGATACTTTGACTTGTAAGAGACATAGAAATATTTATTTGCGAAATTTTCGGCAACTCCTGTTACCTTCGTCAGCGCATGAGTATGTCTCCTACAAGTCAAAGTATCGTAGCAGTTTATTTTGTCTGCGTCTACTTACTGATTTATTCCTACGATGAGACATACGTCGATACACATCAACAACACCGATTGAATATGAATATATATATATATATATATAAACTTGCTGATGATTGTGACAAATGGTGAGATTTGGTTAAACGTGCAATGTTGAAAGACAGTGTTCGTATGATGATGATGATAAATATATCTCATAGTGCGTACAAGGGTTGTGGGATATAACTCCATTGCCATACTTTTCAATATTAATGCAATAGGTAGTTTCTATAAATAAAGGCCCTTAGGACACACATTAATTATTTATTCGCCTGTCTGAACTAGTTAGTTTACCAGTTGTACAACAAGGCATACATCCTATGCTAAATACAAGAGGAGTTTACTGCAGTATGTGTACACTACTGTATGGCTCCAAGGTTTAACAGGAAGCAAGTTAAACAGCATGTGAATACTGGTAGTTAAGCAATGGCCTAAAATAAGTTGACTTGTACTTTGCCCTAAATAGTATATAAGTGTTTGTTGTACGATTTGTGAATTATTTAGAGTGAATAAATGCAAATTCTTCTGCTACAATGCTACAATTACAATTGTAAGGGAAGTTGAAGAAAGTTATTTTCTCAATTCACAATGGTTTTGCCAAGAGCATCTAGGTGGAGCAGAAAATAAAATATTATTGATGAATAAAAAAAAAGTGTGTAAGGTAAAAAAAAAATGATAAGAGGGTAGCAAAAGGTCTTATTTGAGATACTATCAGGATAGTGAAACTTAGGCTATGTCTGTGATTGGATTGATAAATATTTTATGCATTTATTATTGAATTACAAGAGAAAAATATAGAAACAAATATTTCTAAAAGTTTCGTTCTTTTGCCATGGTGAATGCACTAACAGCTCAAACATTTTAATGAATTTTATTCAGAATCATTATCATTGGCAAGTAGCAGGCTAGCAAATCTAGGTTTTTACAGTCTTTCGTAAACAAAATCGAAATCGTATACTTTCAGAATAAAATGTGGATTAATAGGTATTATCAGTAGTTGTTTTACTACCCTAATGACAAGTTTTTATGCGAAAGAATACATAATTATTTTATTTTTTTTATTATCATGCAGGTGAATGGTAAAGATCTATCAAGGGCAACTCACGAGGACGCTGCACTGGCATTGAAGGGGGCAGGTCAAACAGTCACCATCCTTGCCCAGTATAAGCCAGAAGGTATGTTTATATATTTAATGGGAAAATCCAGGATTTTTGTATGGGGGGTGGGGGAGGGGAAGGGGAAAAATCATCAGATACATGTCTGCCTCCAATTAAAGACATTCGTGACTGGGATTTCCAGCTTTGGTCTCTAATTAGGAAAATAAAAATAAACTACATTTGTTAATTTGGGACCACAGAAAAATGTTTCTTAATTGGAGGTGGTCTTTTTTTAATTGGGACTTGTAGTTTAAATAAACACCTACCTCAGCCCCACCATGAGAGTGTTATCCCCTCATGGTACGGGTGTGGTTGATATATTAATATTTCCAGAGGCCTTAAATAATAGATTTTTGTCAACTGGCTAGGCTATTATTACACAGTCGTAAAAACATGCATGTTAATAACATTTTAGGGGTGGGGGAGAGGAGGGTGCTAAAGCCTTTTTAAGGGAACCCTCCCTCTAAATCCGTCATCAGGACAGTTGCTCTTATATATTTTAGATTAGTCTATACACTAACTATTAATAGTTTTGGATATCCATTTCAGAACTAATAATTGAAAAACCGCAATTGATGCTGGTTTATGTGGTTGTGATCTATTATGCACATCTAATTATCATACTCCAGTGATCTCCATGACAAGCACTCATTGAACAAGCTAGGCCTGGCTGTCAGTTCAGTTTTACCTTGAAGGCTGGTTTCTAGCCAGCCTGAGTAAGGGATTGCTGGTGTCGGTTTTACCCAACAGTTTCCTGGGAAAGGGCCTTGGTCGCTATATAAGCAGTCCTGTTGTTCTTAAGTATCCCACATTTTCCTGTACTTACGGCCGCTATTACTTCCGCTCCTCATATCCGATGGTATTCCATGAGATACAGGATATGGCCATTTGTGTATGTATGTGTGTATACATTTATAAAACTGAAATGAAACTAGATGCAAATATGTTTATCAAATATATAATCAAATTCGGAATAATTGATTGATTGATTGGTTGGAGTACAACTGCCATCATGTATGTATGTAAGGTGTGCATAATATATGACATATATAATGAAATACATTGTGTATGATACAATAAAAAATGCCAATCATAGTAACAGTGCTCAAATATTAGAACAACAATTCTTTAAAATTACCTCCTGCGGCATTCATTTGAACCTACGATTTTACGAGCCGTCCTTTCTGACGGATTAATTGATATTCAATTGACATTAAATTTAATACACAAATCATCAATTCTAGATTATTCAATGTCTTTTAATAAATTATGTCATAATGGGAAAAATCCAAGGGATCATATTTCAGGTACTAGAACAAGCGGAATATAATGGCAGGATATTAGAATTCAATCCTATTTAATCCTAATGTGTTCTTCCTCAGACAATATCATTTATCTATCGCTTCAGAGTGGAGTAGATTAGCTTGGTGATTAAAATACTTTTTTTTTAAATCCCAGTGGGTTCAATTCCTATCATAGTAACAGGATTTTTTTTTCTCATGACAAACAACTCAACTCCCTAATCCTCATAATGCCGGGCACTCACTGCGTCGTACCACAAATCCAACTCCGCTCCCTGTGAGCGATAGACAACGCGACTCCGTCTGCTGATTGTCGGTAGCAGTCTGAACTGATCGTTATTAAAAACGATCTGTTGCGCGCTTGTCGTCGCATTTCGCTCTTTATAGAATCCCGACGACCGTTGTGCGCAGTGCTTGCCCGTCTTAAGTCTATGTTGAGCATCTTGTGCGTATGTGTGACGAGATTGCCACTTTGAAGAGTGAAAATTGACTGTTTGGCATATCATTGGCCCTAGAACCTAAACCTGAATAAATTGTTTAATATTGAGCTTGGTTTCCATACAATTGCTACACACTATTGCCAACAGTTTTCGGTGATGCTGATTGGTCGGTCGAATCGGGGAACCTTCCCGATTGCATCAGGGACTGCTACAGAGTAGAACGTTGCACAGAAAACAGTGTGTGTAGCGACAGTGTAGCGGTTTTAAGGAAACCAGGTTTAATGCATTGTTTTTGTGGGTTGGTTGTGCTGATATTTCGGATTGAATACTCTGATTATCAGATGAGAAAGATGTATTGATTAAGTGATTGATTATTTGCCCATTTATTGATTTGTATCGATTAGAATATAATCGTTTTGAAGCCAAGATCCATGACCTTCGAGAACAAATGATGAACAGCTCGTCAAATCCCACGGGAAGTCTAAAGACATCACCAAAGAAGTCCCTCTACGTCAGGTCAGTAAGATTAGACTTAGTAATTATTTGGGAGCTCCTCATGTTAAACCTATTCATCACACTTTTAGTAATGATAATCAACAGAAGATTCATCAATCAATTCTAATTAATTTATAATCAAGTAATATTACATTTTTTTGTGTAGTTTTGTTTATGTACAGTACAAGTGGAGTGTAAGAAAAGAGAATATTTTATGTTTTATGTTATTTATACAATTTATATTTTTACTTCATAAATTATATTTTATAGTGAATGTGGACCAATACAGATATATTAAATGACTATTCCAGAATATAAATTTGAGATTGATTGGTTATTTGATTGATTAAAATATATTTATGTTAATCAATCCAGCTCCCTATCTCATTTTTACTGCCCAAGTGAAAACATTATTTTTAAAAAAGATTCTATATACAATTTGTTTTCAAACCACTAGATTCATCCATTCAGAAATATCTAAATTTATTACCTCTTTTTCTTCTAAGCACACTGTTAAAAATATCTCATCTGGTCAAATTCAAATTATATATTGTTGTTCTTGTTACTGCAGGGCGTTGTTTGATTATGATATGTCTAAAGATAGTGGTCTACCAAGCCGCGGATTAAGTTTTAAATTTGGAGATATTTTATATGTTATAAATGCCAGCGACGACGAGTGGTGGCAAGCGTGTCGTCTCACAGCCACCGGAGTAGATCCCGAAGTAGGAATTATTCCAAGCAAGAAAAGGTATGTGTACTGTCACACATTAGGTTAATAACAATGGTATTGGTATAAGGGGGAGGGGGGTCACTGAAGTCCCTTTACTTCTGGCACTCCCATAGGTCAGCAGTAGTAGTAATAATGGCATTCATTGTCTGCTCTGCAACTGTTATTTGCTGTGTGTAATGTTTTGTACAGATTTGATTGAGTATTGTATATATAATATCTTCCGTTTCAACATGTGTTAAAATGGTTTTGAAACCAATGACCAGTGGCTTTTCAATTTTAATAGTTCACTTCCAATTTCTTGGCTTCTTTCATGTATTTGACCTTTTATTGTATGTCTTCTTTTTCGATGTCTACCCAAATATATAAATGCAAATACAAAATGCAACGTAAAACTTTTCAGAAATATTGATCTCATTATCAATGAGTTTATGTATGTTTAGGCTGGTATTTTGTGGAAGTTTACTTAGTAACAATATCTGGATTTAGCAGAATGGTCCATTAAGAGTACATACCATGTTTCTTTGGTCAACAGTTTTGCTTGTTCCTTGTTTATTGAAGAATAATTCAATTAAATTGTGATATTTATTTTATAGGGTTGAAAAGAGGGAAAGATCAAGATTGAAAAATGTCAAATTTGGTCACGGCAGTACTGGTGGTTTAATGAATGATAGTAGGGTAAGTGTGTCAAAAAGAAGTATTTGAGGTACACTAATGAATATGCATGAGGTATAAATCATTCAGGCAATGCTACTTGCAAAATAATGATAAAGATGAATCCATGCACTACAAATCATTTAGGAAATGCTACTTGAAAAATGAGGATAAAAATGATACGTACAAGTCTATTAATAAGTTATTATGATGGAAACGATGATATTGTAGTTTTAAAAAAAATGTTATGAAGATAGTTTATGAATATTCATGAAGGTACATATAGCAATAACATTTTGTATTTAGATTGCATAATTTGTTAGTAGTCTACTAGCACTCAATTAAACAAGAAAATGTTTTATTCACATTTTTTCTCCTTTCCTCTATAATGCTTTTCTACAGGGCTCACTTCAACGAGATGGCAAGAAAAAAGGAATTTTCTCTAAATTTAGGAAAGGCAAGGACAGTGACCATGATACTAGTGATGCAGAACGTGAGTGAAATTTAGAATGTTTTCTAAAAATTGATTTTAAGGAAATGACAGCATGAGCCTGATTCTCATGGTATTGGTCACATTATCTCGATGCGATTGTTTTATCACATTGATTTGTCGCATGATTTTGATGCGACCGTTTGATCACCATGACCTGTGGTCAGACATGATGCGATCATAGGATTTGATGAAGTGGTTGACCGTTTGATTTAACCACATAATTTAACCACATGATTAGATCACATTGTTTAATCACATGGGTTGATTACATGGTTGGATCACATGGGTTGATCACATGGTTTGATCACATGGTCTTATCACAAGTGTTGGTCACATGATTTGAATATGATTTTTCCAAAATATTTAATGTTTGAATGTCTTACGTCCAGAACTGACTTTGACAAATTGAATATACAATAAACTTTTTGTCCTGATCATCTTACTTGTTCATGTAATCAAACCATGTGCTATGATCATGTGATTTGAATGTTTATCAAGCATGTAATAAACATGTGTATGCTAATATCTTTCACAATCAGGATTTTTTAAAATGGTAATTATTTGTATATATTACAAGGCAGCTTCCATCAAATTGAAACTAAATCGTTAACAGACTGTGTTAGACACACCATGATTAATGTCAATGTCATAGATGATGACTTAAACAAAGCCTCCTAATTCCCATGGTGTTTGCCATATGTGCTTGACATTGGCTATAAAACATCAGTTAACTATGTTTTTATTTTATAAATGAAATATTTTATATTTTGAAAAGATACTGTACTTTGAATTAAATTATTTAAATAGTTTTTTAGTAACACAATACCACCCTGCTAGTTGTGGTATTGAATATTTTTACCTGTTTCTTATTTATTTATTCTTTTTTTTGACGGATACATTTTCAATACAAATTATTTCTCTCCAAAATGGTAGTTATTTTCTTAAGAAGGTTAAGAATAGAAACTAAATTAAAATAAACACAATCACAATACAAACAACAATACATAAAAATAACATTAGATTTTAACACTAAAAATAATTTGTCGAAAATGATAGTGGTTTTTAGATTGATAATTTTTAAAAGATGTTATCTATATTTATTAATACCCCATGTACCACGTACATAGAGATATTTCAGCCAAAAAAAAAAAAAAAAAAAAAAAAAACTATATCAAAGGTGAAATTATTATTATATTGATAAATACTATTAGTTATTTCATGGTTACCTCCAGTTCAGGACACACAGTACAATGTTCAACCTCTCTCGTCCCTCTATTCAAAAGTCATTGACATCATATAAAGGTAGCAATTAATATTCAAGAGAGAGACAATGTGCAGATTTAGTTTCCCTACCAAGGACACAAGCAATACAGTAGGAAATGTTTATAGCTATCCAAAACTTTTGATGGATTCTAAAGTTGTTGGAACTACCATAAAATGATGCATCCAAGTAGAGGGAGAAGATTGTCGTCGTGGAATGGCAATTCATTACAATAATCAATTGATCCTCCCCCTGTTTTTAAACTCCTTGGCTTGTCCCTGCTACATTCATTTTTTTTTTTTCAGTTAACTGTGATTTTGGTTTATTGTATGTCCAAATTGAGTATATACACTATTTCATAATTGGATATACATTCAACGTTTCATTAAATTTAGTTGACTTTATAAACCAAAATATGTAGTTTTGATTATGGTTTTGTTTAATTTCTAAGAAGTTTGTTTAAAGCATGTTGTAAATAATGTTATGTGCCTGAATATTTAACATGCATGTATTGCTTTTGGTTTTCCAAACATCAACTCCTTGTTAGGCTATCATATGTTTGTGGGTAAGCTTGGCAATAGTCCAATTATTACTTGTATTTTAATTTCTATTTATATTTATTACAGATAGATATTTCATTATTATTTTTTTTTTTTTGTTTTAGTAAAAATATTTTTGAATTTTTAATTCCTTTATCTACCATTTTAACTCTTGAAATATGCTATTTTTACCCTCTATAATGTTCTTAATAGTTGTGCATAATCAGTTTTTCCACACAAAAATACATGCTTAGTCTATTTATTGATGATGTTGCAATTTAAAGAGTTATTATTGGACCATAGAAAGTCAAGAAAACTTAAATTTATTATTTTAGTTTTCATATTTTTGGTTAATTAGAGGCGCTGTATTTCGTTGTTAAGCCATTTGGCAAAACTAAGTAAAATTTTTTAAACAATTATTGTGTTTATGTTTATATTGTGTAAAGGTTGTAATTTTTTTTTTTAGGGATGTTTTTAAATTTTAATGTTATATTTTCTTTGTATTGATTTTGTGTAGCACAATTAGTATATGTTTTTCCCAAAGAGTATCTAATGCTTGTGTAAGATCATATTTGTGTAATTAATTATTTATTGTTAAAGATATAACCCATCCAATTTTAAAAATATAATCGGATTTGCCTGGTGAAGAATTTGAGTACATTGTAGCATAGCAGCACAGTATTGTCGCCACTGGACTAACTCGATAAATTGTGGTGGAGAGGTGGACATTGTAGTAGAATTAGTAGTAACGTTTCCCCCTCCCCCACTGGACTAACTTTGTACCCTCTCTATGTTTTGACCATCCACAGAATTTACGTCTAATGCAAGTGACAGTGAAAGTAATCATCGTAAGTTGTTCTGCCTCTTGTATATTTTTTTTCTCTGTAGATCATTAAGATATGCTGTCTGTGTGGAAGTAATATATAATATAAATTGTGCATTAGAATTTCTTAGTGTATTTGCACAAGGTATTAAATGTCAGATGAAAAGTAGGACAGGAAAACTTACTTACTGACAGTTGACCCTTAAAATCACTTCAGTATAGTGATTCTAGAGAATGACAGTATAAAAAAAGTGTGCGTTTGTGAGGCACGCTACTACTCTTTTGTTCTGCTTTGTTGGTTGTTGAGTTTGATTGAAACTCCAGAAAATGTCCCTTAGATAACTTTGTCTTTTGAATAAGCAATTCTGTGGTTTAATTGAATTTTTGAGGGTTTATTAATGCTTTCCACAGACAGCGTATATTATGAATATTAGATTGTGTATTGCATGAATGTTCGTGCTTGTGTCGCATTATGTGCATGTATTATAGAAATGTCTTCAGATACTGTTTAATTCATTTATTTAGCCTGTTTACTTGTTGAAAGCAACAATAGAGAAAATGTTCAATATAACGCTTAGCTTCATAGCCAATCAACGATTTGCTGAGGATGATTATATTTTTACGAGCCTAGAATTATGTATGCTGCATCAAAATGGGTGGCCATCTTGTGAAGAGTTAATCTAAAGCCAGACGGCAGCTCAGCGCTCTTTGTTAAATTTACTATTGATGAATATTTGTTTAACTTGAGTGTAAATTTGCAGTTTATTGAGTAAACAAATGAGTATTTGAATTCTGCATTGAAGTGTGGTAGACTCTAGCATCAGATACTCCAAACCATTTTGTTTTCAAATCAAATATATCAACAGGGTTTGTAGTGTTATGAATAAATTAAATTTTAACGCGTTCCAATAAAGGTATTCATTTTATAGATAGCATTAAGCGCTGGCCAGATTATCAAATTTTCTTTGATAAAAAATGTTGTGTGCCCATATATGGTCATGATATGCCTATATATGGTCATGATGTGATGTCATCATGACCATATTTAGGCATGTCACATGTTTTTGTCAAATAACAGGGCTTTGGGGTTCAAAATGACTTTGTTTTCAATCAAAGATATTAACTGGGTTTGTAGTGCTATGAATAAACTAACATTCATTTAATAAGTTCTATTTAAACGTGTTCGTTTTAGGCTAAAAGACATGACAAATATTGATTTCCTATACATATTTGTAAGTTAATATCTTTCATTTGGAAGGTATAGTAAGAAAGTGAGACGCATTGATAAAACGGTTCCTATTCTTTTACAATTTTGTATAAGAATCTTGTATTATATCCTTATTTGGGAGGTAATCAATTCACAGTTAAAACATTTGTACATTCAGAGAAAACTAGCGTAAATTGTTTTTACTGTTTCATCAATAACTTAACAACTTTATTTGACCATTTTGAACGAACAATTTCTGTCTTTAAATTGAATTTTTGAATTTGCTATATAGTAACCAAGTTTACAGTTTTCAAATGCAATAGAAACGTCAATTTTGAAAAGAATTTATTTCTGTTCGAGATATAAACAACTTTTCTTTTCTCTTCTCCCGCAGAGGAGCAGATTCTTTCGTATGAGGCAGTTGTACAACAAGAAAGTAAGATTTCCGTATTATTATTATAATAAATCATATTAGAAGAAACTGTTGTCCACTGTTGGATCAATGGAATTTGTTGTATGATATAAAAATTATACATAATATAATTAACTTCCAACATAATATTATTACTAGTGGAAAGGAGGTTTGGTATTTAAGGTGCCCTCCATCTATTTCCATGGGCATGGGTTCAATCCTAGTTATTTTCAATTGTCATGATTTTTCGTTACCTCTTTTCCAGATATTTTTTTATTTATAGAACATGATGAAGATTAGTATCGTTAGGTGGACTAAAATTATTATTTTTCTTATGTATTATATCTTCTTTCTTTTGCAGTCAGCTATGCAAGGCCGTGCATTATCCTTGGACCTAGTAAAGATCGTATCAACGATGACCTCATCTCAGAGATGCCAGATAGGTTTGGAAGTTGCATACCACGTAAGTCATCAAAATAAATTATATTGATCCCAAATAAATTTAATATAATAATTATATATTATTATGTATTATCATAATTGCAGATTATTGCTAATCATCATTCATCATTATCTAATCATCCTAATCATCATCATTATCATCATCTTCATTAGCACCATCTATCATCTTTATTATTTCTATCATAATCACCTCCATAATTTTCATCACCATGATCATCCTCATCCTTATTATCTTCATTATCATCATTATTATCATCGTCATCATTATCGCCAACGTCATCATCATCATTTTTATTCCAATCTTATTGATTTGCCAATGTATAAATTTAATTTATAATTTATTTTCATCAGACACAACACGGCAACGAAGGCCTTATGAGGTAGATTCACGCGACTACCATTTTGTTGAGTCTCGAGAACAAATGGAAAAAGACATCCAAGATCATCTATTTATCGAGGCTGGACAATACAACGAGAACCTGTATGGCACCAGTGTTGAGTCTGTGCGGGAGGTTGCTGAGAAGGTGAGCATGGCAACAATTCAGTTCAATTTCAATTCAGTTTTTTATTGCTACATGTATTACAATCAAGTGCTATTATCCATCTAGAACAATACAGTACAAATACAAAGGACACAAATAAAACGCATGCCTAAACGAACTATGAATTTTGGGGTAGGGGCGTCACTCGACTAAGGTCCTAGTGACGTGCATACCCTGTTCCTATCAACCTATGAGCATTAAGGGCTATCGACGTTACTCCACTAAGGTCCTATTATCTGCATAATGTGTTACTAGTCTCTGATATATACAAAGAAAGCTATTTAACATATTGGAAAAAATGATATGGTCTCTAGTGACAAATCCTCAAGTGTCAATTATACTTGAGGTGTCTATTGTTTGTTCCTTTTATAAGTGTTTCGTATGCACTTCCATTGTCCATAAAGGCAATGCACTTAATACTACTTAGTGTTTTAAACAAATAATGCAACTCAGGGTTGACATATTGTTATTATATTAATAATATATTTATAAAAAAATTATATTTATGCTTTGAAAAGTATAATTAAGCTATATATATATAATTTTAGAAGTAAACTACATGGAAATGGAGTTGAATAGCTTAGTGGTTTTAGATTCTGGCTTTCTAATCCCTGGTCCTGGGTTCATTTCCTGTCACAGCAGAATTTATTCTCAACAACAACTCCACTCACTAGGCCTCGAAAAGAGACTTAGCATTGTTACATCCTAGAAGTAGTGAGTGTGCTTGCTGTTGGATGTGAAGTAAATAAAAACATATACTTTCTTCTAAGTATATATGTTTATAGCTTAACAATGAAGATAAGGAAAAGCTAAGACTTGTTGGATTATCAATGAAAAAAAATCATATGAAGGATTTGAATGTGGGGAGTACAAGACAAGCATGTAATTACCGCATTTACAGCTCTCTCCTAGTGCTTATCTTATTGAGTTGGTGGACAAATCATGTAACTCATTTATTTACATTTTTATTTGAATACTTCAAATTATTTCAAGTGTATATGATTGTGAAATAAATTAAACAACAAAAAAGGAATTAACCTGTTTAATCTCTAGAGCTAATTCTGTCTTGTTCTAGGGTAAACACTGTATTTTAGATGTAAGTGGAAACGCCATCAAACGGTTACAAGTAGCATCATTACATCCGATCGCAATATTCCTCAAGCCGAAGTCAGTTGAATCCATCATGGAGATGAACAAACGTATGACGGAGGAACAAGCAAGGAAGACGTACGATC